GTAACGTGTTTTTTAATATTTTTTTTTTCCTTTTGACCTATGTTAATCTGAAGTTTTGTTGAAACAGTTTTAATGCTTAATTTATTATTATGTAACGCGTTTTCTTCTTATCTTTTATCTGTTGCCTTTTGGGACGATTTCTTCACTTTTTTTATTTCAGAAACTAAGCTCTGGTAGTTGCTATTGAATTTATTATCTAGTAACTTTGTTTCCTTTCCATCATTAGGCTTAGAAATTATGATTTTGAACGATATAGAAGTGTATGTTTGAGTGAAAATATTTAATTAAAAATTATTATAAAATTACTTATTTATTCATTATTAAAACTCGTATTAAATTAAACTGTCAACCATCATCAGGATATCGATGTCTTCATTACAAGTAAGGCTTTGCCCAATATTTTTAGCTTCTGCCTGCTAGCCCTTTTATCTTAAAATCACAGTATATTTCCGTCTGGAACTTTTTGTGCATACTAGATGGCAGCACAAGCTGCTTTGTATTCAGAGGTTGGAAATCTTGGGAAAACCATGGAAGTAAGAAAGGTCTTACTTCTTACCTTCCATGGGGAAAGGGGATAAAAATGCGCCTTTTTTTCCCGTGTAATCATAAATGAGATATATCACGCTCAAACAAACAAATAAATTTTAAAGGCTGCATATTCATTATCAATTCGAATGCTTCTCCGGGATGAATTTCATTTGCTTTGTTTAAATAAAGCCTTATTTATATTAAATGAAATTTCTTACTGCTTTGTTATAATTTGTAGCATTTACTTATATTGTTACATAGTTTCGTGTCTAGAGGGGCCATTTCATCCCAAGCGGCATATTTTGGGGAGCGGTATTTTTAACTTGAAACATAATATGATACTTTGATGATATCAAAGTTATATATGGATCTTCCGAGCAGAAAGACTAATTGAGATTTATTGAATTAGAACTTAATTCACTACATTATTGAGGCCCACCAGCGGCCGAGCGGTAAAATCGCTGAACACTGGTAGTTAGGTTCGAATCCCGCGAACGGGCTGGCTGCATGGGTATTTTCGTGGTTTTCCCCATGTGTAACGTGTATACGAGCCAGTTTCCCTTAAAAAGTCCTCCACGAAGGCATCCCTCCCCTTAGGCAGATAGCCCCAGTGTGCTTTGCCGTATTCTCAATACACCACCACCACCACCACCACACCACTACATTATTGTTAATGAATAGATGGGATATTTAGTTATACAGTTTAACTTTTGATAATCAATTGCAAAACACCTTGCTTTATGGTCCGTTAGTGGAAGGCTATTTTTCTTTCGGCAAAGTATTACCGGATTAGCTTAAGGGCTGCTTATACGAATTACAGTTTTATTTTTTAACATTTCCTCGATGTACTTCTCAATTATTTCTTCTTTAAATTTATCAGGGGACTATTTGCCATATTGATACTGTGATTTACCACTTGAGTTACGCCTGGAACTTCGTCGAATAAATTTGCAAAATCTGTTACCAACTGTTCCAGTTTTAGCATATCATCCCGGTTTCAACTGTTGCAAGTCCAAAACCAGAGACTGCCATTGTTTTCCCTTCCAGCGTATTTTTTTCAAGCTCAAGTATGGTTTCCTAAAAATAATTTTCGCATCTTCCGCCTTTAAAAATTACATTCCCAAAATTACAGATGCCTACAGGTTTCAGGTTTCTCACCACAAAGAAAATCACCTTCTGATTCTCATTTTTCACCCGTTAGTTTAATGTGACTTAATGCGTTCACTAGTACTTTGTTTAACAAAATTGAATGACAGCCAGTACCAAATTTTTTATTGTCCTTATTTTTATTGTACATTTAGGTGAAGCCGAGCGGGATTTCGGCCCTTTCAGGGGGACTGTTTTCTCTGCATTTCAGTACCTGTTAGTAAATTAAATTCTTGCCATCGTTCCTTGTTTCCTCTTTTTTGATTTATCTTGGCGATCGCCATTACCGAGTGAAAATTTGTATTATCAAAACGTTTACCACCGTCAAACTCTGGCCTTCCTTACACTGTAGACCTATGCAGATATCCACTGGGTCTCCGGCCATATCTCGACATTCCAGCGTGCTCGAGTTTCTCAATTCCACAAAGTCCTGAATTTTCAGTAACAACCTAAGCAGGATTATTTGTATAACCTTTGCGTCGAGCTTTTTCCCATACAACAAGTTAACAATTTGTATTTTTCTTAATATAAAGTCGGTCAGTTGTTCGACCTTAATTTGATATCGACCAAACAATTCTGCTTCCAATTTCTGCTGTCTTTCACCAAGGGGAATGCTTTTGAAAGGGCAGTAAATACGACGAACTTATAACTTTCGCTGGGCTCACCTGCAGCAGAGCGGTAAAGTCGCTGAACACTGGTAGTTCGGTCCGAGGTTCGAATACCGTGAACGGGCTTACTGCATGGGTTTTTTCGTGGCTTTCCCCATGTGTAACGTGCGTACGAGCCAGTTTCCCTTGGAAAGTCCTCCACGAAGGCATCCCTATCCTTAGGCAGATAGCCCTCGAGGCTTTGCCGTAATTAACTAACCTAACCTAAACCTATAACTTTCGATGACTTTTTTTTCTAATATAATACCAATTCCTTTGTACCAACTCAGTGTCTTCCTCGTAGTGCGGCGGTTGCTATGGTGACCTTCTGTACTTCCGCAACCGGATAAAGCAAAATATGCGAATCTAATTGTTCGAGAAAGTTCACTACAGAGCTTTTGCCATCGAATTCTCTTTGTGGTTTCATTGAAATCGCACCGTATCTATGATGAACCTTAAATGGAGCCTCTGTTATTGGGGAAAGGGAGACTAAAAGTCGCCTTCTCTTGAGCCATTATTTGTGCTTTTGTTCGGGCGCAACTACAGAAAAACAGCAAGAATATACAGATAATATCATTACTTGGAAAATTCGCGTGAATAGAATTCTGAAAAAGAAAGAAAGCGAAGTTGCTCGCGAAACTGAAAGAACAAATATTGTAGAAACCAGAAGTGAATACAGTAATATATTAACGAATACAGTAAACTTCCTCGCTTGCAGATACCTCAATACGATGGCAATATATTAAGGTTTAAGGAATTTTATTCTCAATTTGAAGTAGCTATCCATAAAAATGTGAGTCTTAGAAATGTAGAGAAGTTTAGTTATTGAAAATCGTACTTAACAGACGAAGCTGAGGTAGCTCTACGTGGTTTAGCATTAAGCTCTGAAAACTATGAAATTGCCTTGAACATGTTAAAAGAACGCTTTGGTCGAAAAGATATTATTATAGATGCGCATATGGCAAGGCTTTTAAACTTGAGTCCAGTACGAAAATCATATGAAATTGTAGCGTTGCGTAGACTGTACTCAGAATGCGAAACACATATTTAAAGGATTAGAAAATAACGGAATTAATCCTAACAGTTACAGTTGTCTATTGTATCCAGTGTTGTTAAAATCGATACCCAAAGATTTGTCCTTAGAATTTTCCCGTAAAACACATTCGGAAGATGAAAACAAAATATCTGATTTATTGGAATTTTTAAAGATTGAAATTCAGCGTCGTGAACGTAACGAGTACTTAAGTAGAGACTTTAATTTAAACACTTCAGATTCGCGATTGGAAACTTAAGTTAATCCTTTACAAAAACCTAATCAAAAGTATGAGAAATTTAATAAAACCAAAGTTGATTATAGCGGGAAAAATAAATTAAATTCGAACATTCCTACTACTTCTGCATTTATTATTGATGTGAAAAAATGTATATTTTGTACAAAACCGAAAATAGAGCACGATTCTACATCTTGTCCCTTATCGGCAGAACAGAGAAAATTAATTCTTAGAAAATATAGTATATGTTATGCTTGTCTTTCGAAGGGGCACGTACATAAGCAGTGTAAAAGAAATCTATTTGTAAACGTTAAACGTTTTATGCATCACCGAATTGATTTGCCATCAACCCAATGTTTATTCTTCTTTCCCCGCTCTGGAGTCTCGTCAGACAGTCGACGCGAATAAATTAAATGTTGTGTCTTCCGTAGCATGTGTGAATGAATCAGATGATTGTCTTCCGTAGCATGTGTTAATGAATCAGATGATTGTCTTCCGTAGCATGTGTGAATGAATCAGATGATGCTACTTGAATCTTGCTCGGCGGTATTAATAGGCAGTAATAAAAGCAAAGAGATTAATATTTTGTTAGATAATGCGTCACAGAGATGTTTTTTGAAAAAGAATTAGCCGTAAAAATGAAACTACCCGTTATTAGACAAGAAAGTCTAGATGTTTACACTTTCGGTTCTAGAGTGCCAACACAAAAAACGTATGACGTAGTTCGGTTTACACTTTGTAATTTATGTCATTCGGACAAGAAAATAACGATTGAAGCACTTTTGACTGACTGTATATCTGGATCGCAGTTCACATAACAAAATAATGCAAATACTTTCGAGGAAGAACATTCAATTGTTAGACTTAAGTAAATCGTCAGGAAATGAATTGTCACTGCTTATTGGAGCACAATATTTTTTGGGATATTCATACGGGAGAAAAACAGCGATTAAACAAATCTTTGTATTTGATTGATACTCTGTTTGGAAGGGTTGTTCAAGGTCGAATCCCTCCATCAGATTTAAATGCGAATCGGGATATTTCTGTTATGAAAACTGAATGTCACGCCGCATTAAATGAAACACTAACGCAATTTTGGCAGTTAGATTCAATGGGGATAAATGATACTCACAGTGGAGATTTTAAATTTAAAGAGAAATTTATTTCTCAATTCGAAAGTAATTTAAAATATGAAAAGGGAATGTATACAACTAAATTATTCTGGGACGGTAAACCAGAAAACTTGTCTAACAACTTCGCGGTAGCAAAACGAAGATTTCGTAACTTAAGTGTAAAAATAAAAGAAAATGATTGGGTTTATAATGAATATAAGAATATAGTTAAGGAGCAATTAAAACTGAATATCGTTGAAGAATGTCCTTCCGGTTTAGAAGAGAATTCTTATTATATGCCTCATTCAGCTGTAGTAAGATCGGATAGGGACAGTACGAAAGTCAGATTGGTTTTCGATGCATCGTCAAAAGGTAATGGGTGCAAATCTCTTAATGAATGCTTGAATCCTGGGCCACCGTTGAATCCCAGAATTTTGGATGTAATCTTGCGATTTCGCGAATATGAATATGCATTCAGCTGTGATATTCAGGGAACATTTTTGACCATAGGAATAGCGGAAGAGGATGGAGACTATTTACGTTTTTTCTGGTTTCCAGATGAAAGTGATTCAAAAACTTACAAGATTTTACGAATGACTCGCGTTCCCTTTGGAGTGACATCAAGCCCATTTATCCTTGCTGCGACTATTAAATACCACATTAGAAAATATAAACTTGAACAAAGCGAAACTTGTGAAATGCTTGACTCGGCACTTTATGTAGATGATCTTTTTTACGGAGCAAATACAATAGAGAACTTTCACAGAGCGCTGTAAAAATTCTTAAAGATGCGAACATGAATTTAAGAAAATTTAATACTAATTCGGATGATGTGCATCGGTGGTTTTAAGATTCAGTGGTAATCCAAGTTTGTCGAAAGTGTGGTGGTTCAGCGAAACATATCATCTCATATCAATAAATCAAATTCAATAATCACCAATCAATAAAATATAAATTGATTTAATTAAATATAAGAATATCTAATCTCAGAATTTCACAACTGCGTCACACCTTCCGTCGAGCAACTGCATCGAATCTCAGCACACACTCAATGGCGCTCTCAGCGCCCTCTAGCGTTAGGCGGGTCTTACAAGATTAGTTGAGAAATTTATGGAGTGAACGAGGTTTGTCTGATGTGACAGAAACTAAAGAACGTCCTTTGAAGGTTTTAGGCATCATATGGAACAACGACGAAGATACTTGTAAGTTAGATGCAAAACCTCTACTGGACATGATCTATGATAGGAAGAATTCAAAACGTAGTGTACTTCAGACAGCTTTGAAGTTATTTGATCCTATGGGAATTGCATCACCTTTTATTGTTCTCATAAAATTATTAATGCAAGAAATATGGGAACTTGGTTTAGGATGGGATGATGAGCTATCAACTGACTTGAAAAAAAATGGGATAATTGGTGCTCTCAGATTTATCTGTTGAAAGAAAATATTTCTCCATACCATGGAAGTTGGTGAAAGAATTAGAACTACACATATTTTCTGACGCTTCTCCTAAAGCTTTCGGAGCAGTTGCGTACTTCCGTTACGTGTCAAGTGATGATTGTATTTATACAAGTTTTATCACTGCGAAATCTAGAATCGCACCGCTTAAAAGGTTGACATTACCGAGGCTTGAACTTATGGGAGCTGTTATTGCTTCTAGACTTTTCCAATATTTGAAAACAAATTTTAAATTTCCTGTGTCCTAGGGTATATATGTGGACAGATTCCTTAATCGCTCTTCATTGGATTAAAGGGAAAGCTTCAAAATGGCAACCTTTTGTATCGAACCGCGTATCCGAAATCCAGTCTAGAACTGATCCTGCTGATTGGAATCACTGTAGTGGGCAGGATAATCTTGCAGATTTCATATCTCGAGGAGCTACAGTGGAAAAGCTTATGTCCAGTTCAATTTGGATGCAAGGTCCAGAATGGCTTCGGTTGAAGAAAGGGGATTCGTCAAAAGGCTCTAATTATGAAATTAGTCTAGAGATTTCTCCAGAAGTATATTGCGAAAAAAGAAGCAAACTGGAAGAAGTATCATCTTTTGTGTGCAAAGCTTAATGGAATTTGACACATTTAATGGATTTGAATAGATATAGTAGTTTAAGAAAATTGTATTGTGTTACAAGTTGGATACTACGATTTATATACAACCTTAAAATTAAAACTAAAGTGGTGAACTAAGCACTGAAGAACTTAACGAGGCTGAAATTATCTGGACAAAAACTGTTCAAAGTGAAGCTTTTGCGGAAGAGCTGTCCTCTTTGAGACAGGGTAAAACAATTTCTAAGACTTCCTCTATTCTAGAACTGAATCCCTTTCTTAATAATGACGGGATAATGCATGTTGGTGGAAGACTTCAGAAGTCAAGACTTTCCTACCTTCAAAGACACCCAATTATTATGCCCTCAAAACATCACTTTGTGAACTTATTAGTGTGGGATGCACACAGCAAAGTGTTTCACGGTGGAATTTCTGAAACTTGGATAGAAATACGCGAGACACTAACTAAAATTTGTATATGCTTCTCTTTGTTTGTAAATGTATTTAATTGTGTCGTCAATAAAATATCTCAAAACCTAGCAGACATGAAGCGAATTATTGCTTGGTCTGAAGTTAACGACATAGACTTGAGAAGGTTAAAATAACCTTTCGTTTTTATTAAACCAGAACTTTAACATAAACCCACGACCAGTGCTTAACAAACAACCACCTCTCGTGCCGATGATACTTAAAATAACAGTCAAATTCAAATTCAGATTTAACCTTATAGTCAAAGACTACATAATTTAATTTAAAACTGAGTTGGCTCAGAACTTGTCACCGGCGTAACAACTAAATGTCAGCGGTAATGCAAAGCCACTTAGCCGGGACAGTAGTTAGCAACTTTGACTGCCGTACCAAAGGGCCCGAGATGGAATCCCGGTGAGGATTACCGGGATGGGGAGGATTCTCGGTGAGGATGTTTGTAAATGCCTGGGCGGCACGAGGGCACTCTAAATATGCGGCAAGTCGAAAATCCTCTGGCGATGTTGCGGTAGGGGAAGAGGGGGGATACCATGGAAGCCCTTAGGAGTTACCCGTTCCCCTTAGGAGCCCTCCATCAAAATTGGGAGCGGTACTAAGCAAATTCACCGGTATGGTACGCAGGGCTCTTGCCAAAGATAGGCGCAATCTTGCACTCCTTGCCACGATGAATTTCGTAGGCTTCTTCTGATGTTATTGTCAGACAAGTGAGATAAGATACAAAATACTGTGTTACATTAATTACAGCAGCAACAACAACAGGAATGAAGCCTAAGAATTACAGTCTTAACATTGCAGGCGCAGTTAGTTATGTGGCTTTGTGAAACAGAAATACGGCTGTCTTACAATCCGAAAATCTCAGCTTAAATACTTCTCAGATTAATTTGAGTTCTGGTAGGGAAAAAGATTAACAGCAGTAAAAGCTGATATTATAAATTACTGGTTAAATAAAACAATAATAACCATACAATTTTATTTTATTAGATAAAATATTTTACCCTTTTTCAAAATAGATTTCTCCTTTAGCTTTGATTTGTTTTCATAAGCTTTTTTTAGGCATTTTTAATTTTAGATTTAGTATACATACCAGTAGAATCTATAGTTGCAAGAGTTTTTTTCATGTAAAATTTGCCGTGCTTCTTTTTACGATTTTAGAGAATATAATTCATTAAGGCTGTGTTTTTTGAAGCATTTCATTTTGACTAAACATTTTCCACATCACTTATTTCTAATATTTTCCATTTGCAATAGAGATTTTTCTGATATTTTGCATATTTAGCTTCCTCCCCTAAAGATAGGTTTTTTGCGCCATCTGAGGGACAGTTATATTGCTAATTTGAAATATTAGAATTAATTTTAATATTCTGAGAATTAAATACTGAACATGTTCAGCACCTAATAATTACTTTAAACAGTTAAAGATACAAAAAGGTGTATGTTACATTACTAAGCACAAAAGAATGTATTACATTAATTACGTAATTCTATTATAATGTAAAAAAAAGTCAGTGACCTCTTTTAGAATACTTAATGCTTTGAAAAGTGTTTTTAGATTTTATTGCAAACTTTAATGTTTGATTTTGATAATTTACATATATTCAGGTATCTATTTAAATGCAGTGTAAATTTAATCGTCATAATGCGTTAATGAACGTAGATACTTGAAAGCTGTCTTTTGAACATGCATCGTAGTTAAATAATTTTGCAATTAATGCACTGAGATCGTTTGATTTTATTGTTAAACTATATTTACTTCTAAAGCAGTAGTTTTTAAAAGTTGGAGACGACTCTTTATATAGACTCATTGTTTCAATGTGTCCCCCCCCCGCCTTTGTTTCGGTTAGGGGAACTTCTGTTAATCGTGCGCTTTACTGTAGCACGAAACCTATATTTTATCCGTACTAAAATATATAAACGATTCAAAACGATAGATAAAACTGTGAAGCTCAAATTATCAATAGGAGATTTTATAATTACTTCTAATAGCCGCTGAATACTGAGAGTTAATCTCAGTAGAAGGGATGGCTGCATTTTTAGTTTTCGTGGTTTTCTCCATGCGTAACGGGCCCACCAGCGGCCGAGTGGCAAAGACGCTGAACACTGGTAGTTCGGTCCGTGGTCGAATCCCGCGAACGGGCTGGCCGCATGGGCGTTTTCGTGGTTTTCCCCATGTTTAACGTGTATACGAGCCACTTTACCTTAGAAAGTCCTCCACGAAGGCATCTCTCCCTTTAGGCAGATAGCCCTCGTGTGCTTTGCTATAATTGAATAACCCATAACCCATGCGTAAAGTGAATTCTACGTGAGTTTCCCTTGAAATGTCCTCCACGAAGTAATTTCTACTGTTTGGCAGATAGCCCTCATGTGTTTTACTACATTCAAATAACGTAACCTAATAACATGGGCTTTCCCAGCCACATTTTACCTACTTTCATATACTGAAAGCACCGCCAACACTGTTTTACGCATAATTCCTTATTCTATGTGATAATAATACTTCAAGGCAGGGTTTTATACCATGACGATTTTATCACGTGACATATCGTAAAAAATTTTTATTTAAGTTCTTTTATGGGCTTTCTAGGAAAAAACGTATAGTTAGCAAATTGTTCTTACTTCACTGAAGCCTTTCAAAAAAGAAAAAAAAAGAGACAGGGAATAAACAAAATGATTATGTCGTACAAAAGTTGAATTTTATTAAATATAAAATTTGAATTTTAGAATTTCTCTAAACCTTAACTTAAAACACAATTTTTCTAAATCCACACTTTCTACCTAAAAGGTATCTTTTAGATATATATTTTCGCATGTTAAAACTTATTTATGCGTTTGTCATCAGCAGTATTTCAGTATGAAAAATATCTTTGATTATTTTAATCGTAAAATATTTTGAAATAATTTTAATCGTATGAACATGCTTTTTTTTTTTTTTTTTTTTGTTGTTTGTTTGTTTGTTTAACTAATTCGCTTGTAGGAAAAGTTTTCTAACTGACATTTTTCCCTAGGTAACTAAAGCAAAAATTTAGTTTTCGTATATTTGTATATATATGTCAGATATATGCGTTACGCTAAGAATGTCTTGATTTTAAGGCCTACTTTATTTGATTCATTTCTTGAATTAGTCATCAATCAATCATTCAACATAATAGTCTTCAATTTTTTTTCAGAATCGCTCTGTGTATGTGCTGTTTTATTAATATACTGAATATGACAAATTTTATACGTTTATTTGACGATGAAATCTAAATTT